ACAGATGCACTGGTGAGCTGCAGTCAACAGTGGCCACAGCAACACCGCCGCCAACCGCTGCAACAGCAGCTGAAACAGCAGCAGCTAATACAGGCGAACGCGCACCAACAAAAACCATTCACGACCATGATGATGGTGATGGTGATGGCGATGACAATGACAATGACATTGAGATGAACATGGTTGATGCCACAGACAGCGACGATGATGCGTTTGCTGATGTCACCGGGCCTGCTTCGGAGCAAGGTGCTGTTGTCGTTTACGCGTGTGCTCAAACTCTTCTGCACACAGCGCTGTGTTGTTCGCTTGTGCACGTGCATCATGCTGCTGTCTGTAGCCTCCACAGCGTGTCTCCCTCTCTCCAATGCGCAATCCCTCACCCTTTGCCTGTTTTGTGTTGCTGTATACGGCCGTCTGTCTATGCGCGCGCGTGTGTGTGCGTGCGTGTGTCTGTGTGTGTGTGTGCGTGTCTGTGCGTGTGTGTGCGTGTCTGTGCGTGCGTGTCTGTGCGTATGTGTATTTCCAGAGCGCCGCGACCGCGAAATTGCGCAGCGCACGCAACTGGCAGAGGAGTTGTAAGTCATGAACACGTGCTGTCGCACGCACCCCTGCATGCACGCGTGCGTTCATTTGCGAACGCGCGTACATTGACATGATGCCACGCTCAGCTATGAACATGCACGTACGAACCACATCTCATTCACCCGTTTTTGCCGCGTGCCGTCGTACGTCTTTCGACTTCTTGTGGACAGGAAAGCAAGTCGACCAATTACACGGCAGAACAAGAAGTGGTTGGAGCAACAGCAGCACAAGCTGATGCTGCGTGCTGATGACGGTGATGGTGATGACAATGACGATGGTGATGGTGATGGTGATGGTGATGGTGATGGTGGTGCTGTTGCCCAAGACGGACAAAAGCAACGACAACGGCAGCAGCAGCGCGGGAAGCAGAGGAAAGAGCAGCGGAAAGCGGGGAGGGAGGAAGTGGTGGAGCGAAGGGAAAACAAGGACGCCACTCTGTCGAAGTTGTTTGATGATGGTGACAATAATGATGGCGACGGTGGTGATGCTGAAGCAGACAGTGATGGCGGTGATGGCGGGGATGGTGAC